TGTTAGGACTATTTAGTAAACATGCCTTTGATATAAAACCTAATTTGATGAGCTCATCTTCATACAGATGAGCTGTGCCTCCATTATCCATAATATATCCACAGTAGCGTACCTTACGGAGCCATCCCACATCGTACACATGCCGCAAAATGTCATAGGCAGAAATTTGCATATTTTTATTAAAATGTGGTCGTTTATGCAGCTATATACTTCCAGAAATGTCTTCTGCCTTGCTAAACAACTGCTACAAGGGTCCCAGCACTGGCATCAAGAACCCACTTTAGATTAGTCTTGATAGGATTTCTACCAGAGCACAAGTATCTTAGGGATAGACTAGTATTATTAGATGGTTCCACTCATACAATGTTTCCTATAGATGTAGAGAGGGGTTGTTGCATGTTGCAAACCCTTTGTCTAAACATTCTTTCTTATTACAATACATAGGGTAATGTTTCTAAGCTATTCAATAAATGTTCCCCTGGGAGTGGGCTGATAACTGTCTGCTCCACCCCAACAGGCATGAAACTGTTGCTTGATCCAATAAAAAATGGGCAGAATTAGTGATTGTAATTTCATGTTAGTGGAAACTGAAGTCTGAGAACATCATGAGCCTTGGTGTGTGTGTGTTGTAGTCTGTACCAGCACCCCTTTATGGCAAACTGCAGGGCATAATAGCGTGCTAATCAAGCCAGTGCAAATATTGAGCAGGGCCAATGAATTGTTAGGGGCATGGTTTGCTTGCAGAAATAGAATTGACTTTGCACATATTACAGTTTTTGAGAATATGATTTTATAGTGACAGTTCTGCCAGTAATTAAATTTTTTTTTAAATTTGTACAGTAAACACACAGTGCTGATGTGGTTACACACATAGAAAATACCATAGAAGTAAACAGTGTTCTTCAAAACATGGGTCCATCAGCACAATATGCTGGCACAAAATGTCTAATCTGCATAATACTCTGAGAACGAATAAGCATTTATTGCAATATATAGGCAATATGTAAGCAAATGTAACAATACATAGAAAAAGTCTTGTCAGTGTCCAGAGGTAGGTGATGGAAGGGAAGAGTGTACAACCCACACTTTCTTCCAGCTCTCTCATCTTCAGTGTCAGCTCACCACTCTCACCACTGGGTGATTGGAGTATTGATGGTGATTTAATTACTCCACTAAGCTAATTAGTGGCTGGGCAGTGTATAATTTTTATCAAGAGGCAAATCTGTAGTGTTCCCAGTTATAAGCACAATTCACATGAACAAAGCCCAATACATCCACATGCTGCGTATATGTAAAAAAGTTCAAATTGTATGTTAACCATAAAAATGAGCTTCCCTTATTTGCTCCCTTTTGATCTTGTAAATAAGCTATTAAAGGGTTTAGTTATATCTGGTCAATAAGTACAAGTCCAGTGACTTCCTGAAATGGGCTGGCAATGCTGCACTGAAATCTTCTCCAATGTTATCAGCCCTGTCTCAGTTCTCTTGGTAACTATAAAATATCTCTTTGTTATGTTATAGAAGAGAAGGGGAGGCATTCTGTAGTCAAAACAGAATTCCTCCCTTCATACAGTACAGTGAGTGAGCAATGCCACATAGTAAGTGTGTTTCTGGCAGCATCCAAAGGTGAAAATAAAGGAAAAGAAGCCAAAAAAATGAATGTAGTCACCACATCAAATAAATGGTAAGCTGCAATCAAATAAATTATTATTTTTGGATTGAAATGTTTTAATTTTGTTTCCCTTCCCTACAATGCACTTGTAGGCAGGTACAGTACTGTTTCCTCCACTGTAGGTGGTGCTCAACCAAAGTGGTACTGCAGCTGAAGAGGAGGTCAGGAGAAACCTGGTTTCTCTATGGTTTCCTAGGCCCCTAGGACAATGTTCTGGTTGTCTACACTGCATTCATGTGACCTTTGGTGGCCATCCTGGGTCAACATAGCCTTTTTAGGTCCTTGCCCCCAGGTTTTTGAAGGGAATTTGTGAAGTGGAGACTGTAGGGAAAGAGCAGCCATCTGTTAGAGAATGTGAATAGCGGTAGGGAGAGATTCCAGACAAGTAGGGACATGCTAGGGCACTCCATCCTTTTTGGAAGCCTCCCTATTGGGGCCCAACCAGACCACATCTGAGACAGACGCTGTTGGTACATCTGAACTTGTTGTTTTCCCAAACTGCACAGAACTGAGTGCTTTCTGGCATGATATTCTCCTGCTAGGCTGTTGGTAAAGTTGGGCTTTTCCTTTGATACAATTTTTGTTACCTGCAACTGGACTCTGTATAATTACTACATAGCACCACGCTGCACCTTCCATACACACTACTGAAATTAACACTAAACGGTCAAGAGGAACTCTAGAGTTTGAAGAAAGCAATCTAACATACTTCTAAACAGCCATGTACAGTTTATGACTTGACGGATTACAGTAAACTAAAATACTGCAAGGAAATGACAGTAGGAATATAATGTAAGTTAAAAAAAAGAAAGAAGCATGCATTTGTATAGTTGAACCACTGTTTTTTTCCCAGTACATCATGTTTTTCTTAAGAGAATGTTGAATTATAAATCATCCTATCTGATATTAAAAGACACAGCTGATAACAAAATCTGTTCTGCAGGGTCAATTCTATTCCCACAAACAATGCATCTCTCCAATTAGCTTGTTCAGAAGTGCTCTATCTCCAGTAAAGTAATTGTCCTACTTTTGGTATCATTCCATAATAATCAATATGGCTGGCATTCCTCTCTTCACAACAAAATACATCAGTGATCATACTTACAGCTATAGTCATTTTAAAGACTCTTGTTTATCCTGGCTTATCCTCTTGTGCGCACATTTCCATATTCCTGTTATTTAATAGGGCAAAGATCTAATTTGCTACATGGGTGTTCTGGCTGGCTCAGTGATCTCCTCACCTCATTTAAACATCTTAGAAAATCACACATTATAATCTTACAGTACTGTTTATCTGTGACATCAAATTGCTGCATAGTGGTTTGCACCATGAGGCAAGGTGAGAACCTCGGCTCAAATAACAGCCGTTAGGGGCTGGTAGCAACTTCATAAAACATTTTTGGCTTGACAGGGGTGCATGAACCTGTTTCTGCCTTTAACTCCTTCCTGCTGGCTACAATGCAGACAGGAGATTTCAAATGATCAGACTTGTTTAAAAAAAATTGCTGGCAGAAGTATAGAAATGCCCAGTTTCATATTCCAAAATATGTAAACATAAAGAATTTATGGGGTACACAGTGACTGAAAGATAAATTGTCAAACCACTTTCTCCTGAGTTATAAATAACACAATGCAACAGGCGTCATTTCTGGGTTTGGTGAGAACTTCATATGAAGCAGAAGTCAGTTAAAGTGTTACTAAACCCAGGACCCCGCATTTACTATATCTGGTCTCCCAAAGTACACAGAACATGGAAATGCAGTTATTTTAGAAAATATAAACTGCAAAATACCTTTTCTCATCAGCAGAGCAGTCTTGTGACTTTTATATCAGTGTTCAGCAGAGCACTGGTTAAAGCTTGTAGAAGTAGTTTTCATTCTCCTCTAGCTGCCCTATGAGAATGCAGAACCCCTGACCCTCTGTCAGGACAGTACTGATTGGCCATGTGCTGATCACATGCACTCTCCCAAGAAAAAGAAAAAAACTCTCAAGCAGTACACACCAAACTGAGCATGTATAGAGTGTTTCCAGAGGCTGTGCTCTATCAGGAGATGAAATGGGGACAGTAGAAGAAGTGGAGGATCAGAGAAGACAGGCTCAAACATCCTTTTTACACAATGCAGTGGATTAACCCCTTAGGTCTCACAGTGAGCATAGCAAGCATGTTTTGCTGCATATACAGACTGATTTTATTATTGTAGGTTTAGTAATACAAAATTAGGGTTTGACAATTAGTTGCATTAACACTATGTGACATAAAATTGCAACTTTGACATTTTATTCTCTAGGATCTCTGCTTTTAGTAACACTTTAAAGTGTAACTCTGGTTTTGCTTAGAGAATAAAAACTCCATGTGAACATAACCGCTGCCGTGCCACCCTATAGCAGAAATACTGCTACAGGGCGGCACAGGTGCGCAAAATCACGTATATATACGTGATTTTGCAGTAGGGAACCTGTCAATCATTGGGTCCTGGCAGGTGATTCTCCGCCGGCACCCAATGATCTCCGAGGATTTCTGACGGGGGAGAGACCTGTATGTAAAAAAAAAAAAAATACAGATCTCTCCCCTGTCAGCTCCTGCACACTGCTTTGTAGGGCTCTGCATATGTGCACAAACAGCACAGCCCACATAGTAAAACAGCACACAGTTAGCCTTTTGATCACCCCACATGTTAACCCCTTCCTGCCCAGTCCCATTAGAACAGTGTCAGTGCTTTTTATTAGCACTTTGATCTGTGTATTGGTGGCACTAGGGATGTCAGTGACACCAAGTCATTTCCCCCCAGTGTCAGAATGCCCTCCGCAGTCCTGCTATAAGTCGCTGATTGCCGCCATTACAAGTAAAAAAAAAAGAAATACAGTATATATATCACCATTTGTAGACGCTATAACATTCACGTAAACCAATTAATTTACACATATTGGGATTTTGTTTAGCAAAGACATGGAGCAGAATACATTTTGGCCTAAATTTATGACTAAATTTGATTTTTTAAATTTTTTTGCTGGACATGTTTAACCACCTCCCGCCCGCCATATAAGGCAATGACGGGCGCAAGGCAGTTCTCTCGTTCTGGGAGGTGATCGGTGGTGCGCTGTGTCCATCGGACACAGCGGATCACCAATCAATGGAAAGAGCCAAACATGGCAGCTCGGTCATGTGATCAGCTGTGTCCAATCATAGCTGATCACATGTAAACAGGGAAATGCCGGTTATTGGCATTTCTCTCCTCACGAGCTGTCATGCTGACAGCTCGAGAGGAGAGGAGAGCCGGTAATCGGCATTCCTCGGAGGACATGTACACTGATCATCAGGGCACTGATGATCAGTGTGCCCTGATGATCAGTGTAGCCCCAGCAGTGCCACCTGTCAGTGCTCATCATAGCCAGCTGTCAGTACTCATCAATGCCACCTATCAGTGCCCCTCAGTGCCTCATCAATGCCACATATCAGTACCTTCCAGTGCACATCAATGCCACATATCAGTGCCCATCTGAGCTACCTTTCAGTGTCACCTATCAGTGTCAGTCAGTGTCACTTATCAATGCCAGTCAGTGGCACCTATCAGTGCTGCCAATCTGTGTCACCTATCAGTGCCAGTCAGTGCTGCCTGTCAGTGTGCATCAGTGCCGCCTATCAGTGCTTGTCAGTGCTGCCTAACAGTGCCAGTCAGTGCCCCCTATCAGTGCCAGTCAGTGCTGCCTATTAGTGCCACCTATCAGTGCTACCTATCAGTGCCATATATGAGTGCTGCCTTTCAGTGCCCACACCAGTGATGTCTGTCAATGATCATCAGTGCCACGTACTAGTGCCTCCTCATCAGTGCCTGTCAGTCCCAAAATTCTTTTTGTTTATAGCGCAAAAAATAAAAAATGCACAGGCGATCAAATACCACCAAAAGAAAGCTCTATTTGTGGGGGAAAAAAGGACGTAAATATCATTTGGGTGCAGCGTTGCATGACCGCACAATTGTCAGTTAAAGTAACACAACAACGTATTGCAAAAAATGGCCTGGTCATGAATCGAAGGGGGGGGGGGGGAGGGTAAATCCTCTGGAAGGTAAGTGGTTAAAGGCTAAGTTTACATTTAAAAAAATAATAATAAATGCACATTTTTTTGCAGGTAAAAAAATGTATTATTTTATTAATCTACAGCCTATAAGGCATTGCACCCACGATTAGCAGATAAATATGGGTGGAACATGTAACATGTTTCAAAGGTGAACTTATCCTTTAATTCTGTTAGCAAACTTATGTATATACTTACCATGCCTTCCCTTTCTCCATTTGACTACAAAGCATGAAGCTCTGCCTTTATTATGACTATCTGAGAAGCCTCAGTGTTGTGAAGAAAATAATCTGCATATCTTTATGTGTGCAAGCTCTCTGAAAGCATCTTGCCAAGGATGAAGCTCTTAATGCAAGGGATGTCTGTCTGGGATTTGAAGGGTGTTTCAGGCTGTGTGGAAACATATGGGGAAATGAGTCAATAATGCAAGCATAAAGTGAGAATTCTGGGAGTGTTCTATACACAGTGTAGATAGCAAGGCTTTATAAAATGATAGTGATGCAAACTTTGTCTAAAGTTAAATTAAATGGGCAGTACAGTGGCTAAGTGGTTAGCACTTCTGTCTAGAAGCACTAGGGTTGTCGGTTTGTATCCCAACCAGGGCACTACCTGCCTGGAGTTTGCATGTTTCTCCTTATGCTTTTGTGGGTTTCCTCTGGGTACTCTGTCTTTCTCCCACACTCCAAAGACATGCTGGTAGGTTAATTGGTTCCTGTTTAAATTGGCCCTAGTATGTATAAATGTGAGTTAGGGGCCCTGAGATTGTAAGTTCCTTAAGGGCAGAGACTAACAGGCCTATATAAGTACCTGAAATAAATTACAAAAAGGACCGTCTACCAATTGTATAGAACGGGATCTTACAAAAGTGGAGCTTATCTTTCAGCTACTAGAAATCTCCTGCCCTTTTCAGCTTAATCCTGCACTCCATATCAGTGTTCTCTCCCACTCTCTCAAACGGGTCTAGCAGTGGAGGCTTTTGAAAATGGACAGTAGCTTTATTCAGCTACATTCTTAACTCCTGCTGTCTCTTGGACTGAAATGACCATAAGCAGCTTAGGCAAACTACCAGTTGCACAAATCCCTCCTCTACGGTTGTTGAAACAAATGGATTAGCATTGTTTGCTACAAACTATACCTGGAAGATACCTGCTTCGACTAATGGATACAACATTTATATATGGTCAACAAAGTTAAAAGACTACATTCTGTGCATCTCTGGAAGCTTCCACGCTAATACTGATTTCCATAAACAGCTATAGAGACTGAATTCAGATACAAAAAAGATATAAGTCATAATGAATTATGCTCTACACTCACCAGTATTAGGTACACTTGTTCAATTGCTTGGTAACACACATTGTTAACCAACCAATCACATGGCAGTAATTCAATGCATTTAGGCATCTAGAAGTGGTGAAGGCGACTTGCTGTTGTTTAAATTGAGAATCAGAATGGGGAAGAATGGGATTTAAGTTACTTTGAACGTGGCACGGTTGTTGGAGTCAGACAGGCTGGTCTGAGTATTTCAAAAACTGCTAATCTATTGGGATTTTCACGGTTGTTGGAGTCAGACAGGCTGGTCTGAGTATTTCAAAAACTGCTGATCTATTGGGATTTTCACGCACAACCATTTCTAGGGTTTACAAAGAATGGTCTGAAAAGGAGAAAATACCCAGTGAGTGGCAGTTATGTGCATGCAAAAATGCATGGCTGATGTCAGAGGTTAGAGGAGAATGGGCGGACTGGTTCGAGATTAAAACCAAGGTATGCAGAATACCATCTCTGAATGCACAACACATTGAACCTTGAAGACCACACCAAGTGCCACTTTGCACAGGCTCACTAAAATTGGACAATAGAAGATTGGAAAAACATTGCCTGGTCTGATGAGCCTGGATTTTAGCTGCGACATTCAGACAGTAGGATCAGAATTTGGTGTAAACAACATGAAAGCATGGATCCATCCTGCCTTGTATCAACGGTTCAGGTTGGTAGTGGTGCAATGTTGTGGGGGATATTTTCTTGGCACACTTTGCGCCCCTTAGTACCAACTGAGCATCATTTAAACGCCAGTATTGTTGCTGATGATGTCCATCCCTTTATGACTACAGTGTACCCATCTTTTGATGGCTACTTCCAGCAGGACAATGCACCATGTCACAAAGCTCAAATCATCTCAAACTGGTTTCTTGAACATGACAGTGAATTCACTGTACTCCAATGGCCTCCACAATCACCAGATCTCAATCCAATAGAGCATCTTTGGGATGTGGTGGAACGGGAGATTCACCTCATGGATATGCAGCCGAGAAATCTGCAGCAACTGCGTGATCCTGTCAAATCTCTGAGGAATGTTTTAACACCTTGTCGAATCTATGCCATGAAGAATTAAAGCAGTTCTGAAGGCAAAAGGGGATCCAACCCGGTACTGGCAAGACATACCTAATGAAGTGGCCAGTGAGTGTATATGTTGAAAGTTACTTGGGGCTTCATCAAGATACATTTTAAGAACCTCTGGTCTAAGGTCGAAACCTTGTCTGGTGCTCAGCCCTAATCTCAAAGTTTGGATTTTGGCTTAGACACCACTTTAACGCTAAAATTGAAGTGTATGTATAATCAAAACTTTTTTGAAGGATTCAAACCTCTATCCAGTTATTTTTGGCTGTCTGTGTCTTTCAGGGGAGTTTTTTGTACCTTCTGTTTTGGAGACGCAACAGGAAATGGAAGGAAATCCCTTGGATAGTTGTCATCAGAACATTTGTCTCCACTGAAAGATTTCTATCACATCTCGTTCTCATGACAACTCTAAAAATGTGTTTTTGCACTTACCACCTGTCTCAGTCACAATGGTCACCTGGATAAATAAAGTAGACCTTCCCAGCAAGGGCACAAACCACAATAAATGCTTTGCATTTGTTCTAGCCTTTTAAAACTACAACTGATACTAAAAAAAAGTTTTCCTTTATATATACTCCACAATGCAAAGCCTTAGACCTATTTCTTAATAGACCTGAAATTGCTTGACAATATCCCTTACAGTTTTGTCACTTGTTGAGCTGTTCTGGGCAATTTCTCTAGTAATATTTCCATTATTTGAAATAATGTGAATTTGATAATTTGACCAATTTATAACCGCTTTTAAACTTTTTTGCTCTTTTGACATTTCTTGACACCTTACCAATCTCAACTGTTAAAGTCAACTGAAAAATTAGGTTTACAAAAGATGAATATTTTCTTTTTAATTTTGCTATTTAGTTCAACAATGTTTCCAGTTTTGCTGTTTTTACAATATGTCTGCATTTCCTAATTTTCCCACTTGACTTTGACATCACAAATTTATTTTTTAAATGTTCATGAACTAAAAACATGCATTGGTAAAAAGAGAAAATGAACTCAAACCAAAGCTTGTTCTTTATAAAAAGGCTTCATAGACTAACACATGTTGTAATACAATGTAAAATATAATCTGTCAGCTTTCTCATGTTGTCAGCTACCATTGGAATTTATATACCAGGATATCTGGAAGCTGTGGTAGAGTGCATAGATGCCTTAATAAATCATTTAACCAATGATTGTCTACTGGAGCATGTTTTTAAATTTTTTTCACATGCATGGTAAAATAGAAAAAGTGCTTAGAACCCCCAAACATTATATGTTTTCTGGAAACAAAAGCCTTGGAGAATAAAATGGTGGCTGTTGCAATTTTTTAGTGTCACACTATAGTTGCAAAGTCGTTTTTTAAAAGCAAACTTGCAGGAATAAACACACTTAAACACATTTTAGTGCACCCAAACACAATGCAATACACACTTTTTGGTAAAATATAAAGAATGACGTTGCTTCGAGTAAATAGATGCTAACTACTTGTCAAGATCTAAAACTGCACACACATGTTAGTCAGGTTTAGTAGGCTAAAAAAACTCTTTTATCCAGTTATCTTTTATCAACAGTTATCTAAGTGCAGCTGATCCAGAATGTCTAAGGCTAGTTTCACATTGATCCATTTTTCTTCCATTTTTGCGTTAAAAGAAGTGGAAGAAAAATGTTTGACTGTGTATTCCTATGGAACTCTTCACACTAGTCCGTTGTTGCGGGTCAGGTGCATTTTTTTAAATCCCATTTGCTGCATTTTTGGTGTGGTGAAGAAACACACCAAATACGCACCCCCCCACACTGAAGTAAATGGAAAACGCATCAAAAATGTATAGGTAGGTGCGTTTTGTGGTGTGTTTTTGAGTCACATGTTCTTTTAAAAAAAATCAGCAGAAACGCTGTAAAATCGCAACAAAAGAGTGTATGCATTTTTGCTGAGTTTTTGCTAGGATCAGTGTGAAACCAGCCTAAATGTAGGTGATTACAGAAAGCTAATAAAAAGATACATTTAAATACTTTTACTTGTTGAATTTAAAAATATATTTTATTATTTTAAATGAATACACTATTATGAAAAGCTATAACAAGCATGTGTTGTTGTGTTTGGATTTGCTTGAGCTTAAGTTGTAAAGTACATCTGTCATGAGATAAAAACATCAGCTATTGCTGACCTACATATGAAAAGTCTGATGTTTTGATTCTTATTCTTAATACTTGTCCCGTCCCTGGTCAATGATTCTAAGCATTAAAACCAAAGCATCTGCCTCATAAAGAAGGGTAAGTAAGGGCAGATGGAAAATGTCCGTCATAACAAGTCTTC